GGGTTTACCCTAATAAAAATTTTTTGATTCAATTACCTCAATGCCAATTTTAACAGCAGTACCTTCCTGGGACTTGAACTCATGTCTTGCATGTTATCAATCCAATCCTCTTCCAATTCAGCTAATGAGAGTTGCGGTATTTACCATAGGTTTTCCATACTTCTCCCTCGACTGAAAACGAAACATTAATTTAACAACTATTCATTCCCAACAATGTAAATTTCGAAATAAATTCTCCTTTCCAAAATATTAATTAACATCAATGCATGTGCACTTTCCTGTTGCCCACTGATTCCGTCATCTTTACAACACAATTTAAGAAATAACCGCAATTAAGAAATGTTGAAGAGAGGATGATGACAGAGTCGAGTGCTTATATGGATTTTATTATTCCATAATTTCCGTGCCATAACTGAATCATCACGAGTACTAATAATACCCCATCGGAATTCGAATCCACATCTTCCAGATTACCAGTCCACTGCACTTCCCCCAAACCACCCTGACCTACCACATCTACCATCAAACCTATCACCTTTCTACCAAACTGACGATGAATCAATTACTTCCACCCGAAGACTCCCGACAAAAGTAGCAAACTGCATCACCTCGAGATTGAAACCATTATTCCCAACTCCCTCACCCAAATCTTCAATTCAACCCCCGAGAATTGACACCCACGAAGATGTGACGATCTCAACTTCTATGTAATTCACGCCAACCGAATAATTCACATCCATCCCTCAAAATTGGGTTAAAGACACCGCTGAACCTAGCCAATTAATTAGCGTCCCGAAGACGAATTACCACAGCGATAAAATATGGAGACGATGGAGTCAAAGAATTCCCATTGTCACCGGACAAATATCTCCCCTGGAATTGACCAGCATAATCGTAACCCCTCACCGAGACAATTCTTCGGGTTTGTACCCTCGATTTTATAAACACTAAATTGTTCCTTGGAGTCTTCTCAATGGTGTGGCACGTTCTTGGTGGAATATCCTGGGATAACTGCCGAAGTAATGTGAAAATGTCTTCTCTCTGTCTATCTCACCCTCCGGACAACATCCCCGACGGTACACTTTCTCGCAGCTTAGCGGACGGCAATTAACGGCTGCCTCATTTACCCTCTAAATAAATTACAAGGTACGCGGACTCACCCGATAGATCCGGTACAAGGGTCCCACGGTGTACATGGGGGATAGAAAAAGGTGGGGCTGCAAAAGGGATGAGAGGGAAAAAGCTCGTCCAATGAAACAAATCCATGGTGATGCCTTCACTGAGTTTATTGCATTATGGTCTGCTTTTCCTCAATTTCGGTGACGAAACTCATGTGTAAACTCGGTTGTTCGAGGGGATTGGGGTTATTGCAATTGACCCACGTTTGAAGATGTCTAGATAACTAAAAGTTGAGGGAAGGGAAGGATGAGATAGGAATATGAGAGAATTCGACATTTTTTCGTCAGTAATTAATATAAATATATAATATATATTAATAGTATAAAGTTGTTAACGGGGAAGTTACGATGTTCTGATTTACTTTTTTTTTCAATTATTTAAATTGAATTTGGAGTTCAATCGTATGGGTCTTTAGTCATTAGTCTGTAGACTCCCAGCTATTTTGCACTCTACACTTGTCAGCCGCCTAGTCCACAGGTGCCAGCATGTTGGCCCTTCGAGCAAACTCATAGAGCCCTTCTATACCGTCCCTATCAACATACATTTCCTTGATGCAAGTGGTCCCAAAGACGTCCCATCGGATCTCGTCAAGACCACTGCATTTTAGTTAGTGCCTAGGTGGTGTGGGTTTTCCTCCGCTAGTCCACATTTCGGGCAGGTAGGATCATTTCCTCTGCCTATTTTCTAGGCTAGGAACCAGTGACCAGTGATAATCCCGACCAATCGCATGGGTATCATAAAATTTAATTTTGAAATTTGGATAAAAAGTACGGGAAATATATGTCTTAGTGACATATTCTTTATAAACGAATTAAAAAATAGAATTGAATATAAAATTAATACTGTTTTTAAACAAATTTTGGCATCTCCATTCAGTGTAAAAATTCAATTTTCGATGTTCTTTCATGAGTTTGATGTACAATGCAAACGAACCGCTGCTCGCAATTAACTAAAACACATAAATTGTATTTAAAAAAATCGCTGGAAATCTGAATAAATGTTTACTACAAATTTTCATTAAAAGAGCAAGCCGATTCTCACGATAAGAAATTTATCTTTTGGAAAACCTCTAAAGCGTAAATTATATCAATTTCTTCTAAATATCATATATCTTTTGTATATTTCGTATACATATGATGGAGGTGTAAACGGAGAAGTTAATAATCCAAAACGCGACAGCTTCTCGGGATTAAAGATCATAAGACAAATATTGGAGTCTCTTGTGGTAGGAGGTGGCAATATTATTATGATTTTCCCCTCAACGAGACTGACGCGGAGTATTCCTTAATTTCCCCACATTGTTGCCGTTCCTGGGGACTCCCCACAGCGTTATACCACGATTTAATCACAATACGAGCGCGCATCCCTCGTTAGTGAGAATATCTCTCCGAGTGGCCATAATACCCCGAGCTACATTCCACCAAGATATCTGCACTCACCCGTACTTTTCTAAACACCAAACACCCGTGGATCTATAATCTTTTTCTCTGAGACCTAGGACGAGGGCAGAAACACGGGGATTTCCATTGCGCTCGAGAGAGATGGAGTCTCGGACTAACCTCGACTGGATCGCTCCTGAAAAACACTCTTAAGGGAGAGAACGTTCGCAATAATTGTGATTTACGGCCACGGCCCCGTGGGTAAAGCAAAACGCGCGGCACTCTCCGCTTCGTTGTTGCTACGTTTTTCTTTTTCTTTTTCTTTTTTTTTTCTTTCTTCGGGTACTTTTTTTTATTTCACGTTTTATTCTCTCAAATGCCGACAGCGAAATAGCGACTGTTGCAATGAGGAAACGCCCGAGTCGTGATTGGAATCTCTCGGAAAATACTGGCATTAAAATTTCCCACACACAAATTGAAAGTTGGCGAAAATTGAGATCGATTCGCCAGAAAAAAAAAACAGGGTATTGCTGAAATTATTTCTGGTATTGCTTCTCTGCTAATGAATCAGCGATTTATTTTCCAATGGATTCGAATTATCGGAGAATCTTCACAAGAATATTATTATAATTTTATAAATTGAAAATCAATATATTATTCTTGAGTTCATGAAATTTATGAAATTGTTCACTGGCAAATTCTGTAATTTTAATTAATTCTGAGCCTTACGTCAACATTGTACCAACATTGCACTAACGTTCGAACATTGCCCCAACCTTGCCCCAACCCAGCGCCAATGTTGTACCCATAAAATTGAATATTTCAGATTTAAAATGTCCAATATCTCCATTCGGAAGCCAGAATAAAAATCCTCTTTCCTCCCAAACTCTCTCTGACTGTTGGAAGGTATAAATTCAGAGGAAGTATAGAAGATTAACGTTCATCGATAATACTACGAAAAAAAAATGCATAAGCCAATCAGGATTGATCGAGGTTGCCGTAGAAGTTTAGCATAAGAAAGAAAGTATGGAATGAAGTGGGGGG